AGTTACATGTCAAATTAACAAAATCATCTGAAATCGGACAGTAAACGACGTTCACACCAATCTAATAGTTTAATTAAGCGGAGAAATAATTTATTACTTGACCAATTTGAAAATATAATTCTAATGGAGCTGACTAGGAAAGTCGAGAAACAATAGTCAAATAAATAAAAACCTATTCTATTTTTAAATAAGAAAAATTATTTATAATACTCAGCTAATTGGCTATAAGTTAAATGTCGAACTAACGAAAACATAACGCCATTCACACCAGTCGAGTAGTTTAATTGAGTAGTGAAATAATTTATTACTTGACCAATTTAAAAAATTTAATTTTAATTGAGCTGATTGGAAGAGTCGAGAGTAAACAATAGTCAAATAAATAAAAATCTATTCTATTTTTAAATAAGAAAAATAATAACCCAAAATAAATATTTCCAAAGAAATAAAGACACAATGGAGAATGGAAAGTGCTCAGACGACACCTATTATTCTCTCTACTATTGGAGTCATTCCGAAGAGCCTCTTAGAGACAATATTAAACAGCTAGGTTTTATTTTGCGAGATACTCACACGTAACAAGTCACCTAGAGCTCGATAATACGGAAAGAGTCCCAGCAGAGCTCAATCCTTTTGATACCGTAAGTATCTGGAATAATCATCAATCAACCCTGAGTTGTCCATTGTTGAACATAGGCCTCCTCTAGACTTTTCCATCTGCTTCTGTTCTGCGCCTCTGCTATCCAATTGGTCACGATTCTTTTGAGGTCGTCGGTCCATCGCGTTGGGAGTCTTCCTCGGCTTCGCTCGTCAGCCCGTGGTCTCCACTCAAGCAATTTTTTTGTCCAACTGTCGTCTTTCATTCTTGCAACATGTCCTGCCCATCTCCATTTTTGCCTTATAATATGTTCGATAATGTCTTCCACTCCGGTTCGTCTACGACGTGTCCTTCTCTCAATTTTTCGGCTGATGTTTTTGTGTGAGTTAAGGTTTCTGCTCCGTATGTGAGGACTGGTAGAACGCACTGGTTAAAAGATTTTATTTTTAAATGGATCGGTACATTTGTTTTAAAAACGTCTCTCATTTTTCGGAATGCAGCCCAACCCAGATTTATTCTTCAGAAGAAGAATAAGAAGAAGAATCTGGAATAATAATATTACGAAAAAGGTGCTGAAGGTACTACGCTGGAACAATGAGTTGCACGGTAGTCTGCTAAAGAAGGTGGCACGTGCCGTACAAGAGTTTAGTGGAACAAACCCACTCCTACCAAAAGTACTCTTCTAAGAAACTAGGAGCACTGTTAGAAGTTGTGAATACTGACGTCCTACACAATTATATTACAAAAGTCTGCTGATTTACTGTGCAGAAACAGCGATTCCTAATGTTATGGGCATTACGATCAGAACACGACGGGGTACCAACATCGAAAGGACTGGTAGCATAATAGCACTCTGAGAAAAGCGACTGCTGAGGAAGATTGAATTACTGCGAAGGGACATTGGAGAAATAACGGAATAACTTTAAGACACTCACGATATGATCCAGAAAACAACACACCTCAACAATGCCTGGATACATTAAAAGAAAAACTCTATATATTCAGGCCGCCTAAGGGTATAAAAAGTTAGCAACAACCGGAAATGCGACAATATACTTTTTAAGTATGCAGAGAAAACGTTTTATAGGAAACTCTACTGTGGAAAAAGCAAATAAGTCATATCCAAGCCGAGAAGAAATTAACAAGTTTAGGGGAAATCAACTTTCAACGCCACGTACTCATTACACCAATGCTGGATGGATTGAAGACACAACGAACAGCTGTCAGCATTACAATAATATCCCTTACGAACCCTTTACCACTGAAGAAGTATCAAATACTATCAAAGAGCTTCATAACTCGAAGTTTCCTGGACCCGAAGGAGTTCAAAACTTCTGCCTAACGAAGTTTTGGAGTGTTCATAAGTGTTTTTCAATGTTAATTAATCATGTTATCTCTAATCCACAGGAAATACCACAATTTCTTACTCAGGAAACCACTTACCTAATACAGAAGGATCAAAATAACACCCAAGATCCAGCCAAGTACTGCCTAATTACTTGTCTTCCAACTTTGTACAAATTGGTCACATTCTATGTAACCCAGCATATCTACCAACACCGTTCTCTAAACAATATCATAGAGCCTTAGGAGAAAGGATGATAAAATAAAGTCGAAGATAATATTACCTCTTTATACCTATATTTTATATACCTCTTTAAAGCATGTAATTACTGAGTGGAACACTAAAATTCACTTTCAAATACCTGCTGAAAATAACATCGAAACTGAAGACATCCCAATTAACCGGGGCATTTTTCAGGGCGACTCGTTGAGCCCACTTTTGTTCCGTTTAGCGATGAACCCACTATCTTAGCTACTGAACTCAACTGACTCAGGTCAGTATAAAAACGAAAACTACTCTGATATGGACTTATGCGAAGGGCGGAAGAGACAAGAATGCCGCTGAGAATTTGAAAATGGAAACCAAACGGAGGGAGGAAACAAGGACGTCCTAGATTAGAGTGGAATGGACAAATAGAAAAAGTAATTGAAAAAAGTGACATTGAAGAAGATATATATGAAACAAAGAAATCGACGATTGGGATATGGTAACAGAATATAAGTAAGTAAGTAAGTATTCTATTTTTGCGGTCGAGTAAACCTCTTCTTTCATATTTTTAGTCGACTAGCGCGGTCACTAAACACCTACGGACAGAGATCATTTAGTCGATTTTTTTTTAATTCATTTTAGATACTCGACTTGCTGCTTAATGCTTTCAAGTAACACTAACTTCGTATAACGATTGTTTTTATTCGACTGAATTATTTTACTCCGTTAAATCACTGGCTACGTATGAACTGTGCTTTACGTTAGAAAATAAATGTGTATTTAATATAAAATGTTTGACCTTAATATTTGGTAATCAGGTTAGTTAAATATAACGAGACAAAAGTATTTAAATGTTAGGTATCGATTGTGGTTACACCCATAAAACTATCGACAAAACAAGTAACATTAAGCAAGTAACAGGCAAATTATAATATTAAGCACAAAAAGGAAGATTGGTTACTAGTGGAAAGTTTGGTAGGAAAGATCCAGGGTGAAGTATTACTGACCTGAAAATAGAAGAAAAATTTAGTCACAAAGTTTTTTATAACTCTCAGGTTCATTAACGTCCGTTTCATTTTGCAGTTTAGCTATATTCAGTATTTCTGGTTTCCTTTTGTTACTGTTGTCTTTTTGTTATCTATCTATTATTTACCTTTTATCTATCTGTCATTGATTTATTACTTTTCTACCAGTTATATCCTTACCCACCCCAATGAAGTACCCGATTCTGAGCAACGAGTTCTTTGTAAAGTTCTTGTCTACGATTAGCTTTTTACCACCGGATCTTCTTCTTTTTAATCACCTGAGTTGATTTTCGTTACAGTAGTACTTAGTTGTAATCCTGATTTCTTAAAGTATTCGCTAATGATGAATAGATCATTTATAAGAGTGTTTTCGGTAGTTTCTAGCGATTGGTGGCTTGTTGCAAGGATCAAGTCGTCAGAATATTCAAACTTACGAGATTCGGTTGCAGACATGTCAGCAATATAGAGGCTAAAAAGTAGAGGGACAAGAGCAGAACCCTTTACACAGAACTATTATTCAGTTTTATCTGTTTGCCCATATTCTTTCCCATTAGTACCTGGAAGGTTGTATTTGCCAGCTTGTTGTAAATGAGGTTAATTATCTTTCTGCACGGGATAATATCGGCCAGTTTATATACTAATCTCTGTTTTCAAACAGTATCGTATGCTGCTCTTAAATCTATTATTGCTCCGGTTATTTTTTGTTTCTTTTGAAAACCAGCTTCTATAAAACTTGTTAGTGACAATACTTGGTCTGTACAGCTTGAGGGCAAAAACCTGATTGTTTAGTGGGAATATTTTCAAGTATCCTGTGACTAATTCTGTTGAGAAGTTTTTCTAATAGTTTATATAGCATATTGAGTAGGGTTATGGGGGGTAGTTTTCTGACTTATCATTTGGTTTGCCCAGTTTAGGAAATGCAATGATCTTGGTTCGCTTAAGTGAGAGAAATGTTGTCTGAGTAATCAGCCAATATTATGTTGAAGTACATACGTGTAGAACATTGCAAGCCAATGTTTCGTGTATGCACCACTGCATATCAAGAACTCAGGATGGATGCTTTCAAACCCAGGTACCAAATAATAATTCTTGCTGAATATTCAGAGAGTTAATTTTGTTCGTTTGTTTTAATGCAACCAAGTCTAGTTTCAGTTTGGTAGTGGTCAAATTATTGGTTTTTATGATAATTTCCCACCTCTATGAGTTTTATTTCTTTTTATTTCACATTTAATATTCCGGTCTTAGTTTAAGTAAAAAAGAACAACGAGGAAGATGAATTATATACGGTAATCCGTAAAGTCCCCAGGCAGGACAAAAGTAACTAAATAAAGAGATTCGTAATATAATGACAGCTAGGGGACGAAAAAATAGTAGAACGAATAAGTGGGAGTTCAAAATGTTGAATACCAAATAATACCAATTTTTTTTAATTGATAATTCCTGTAGGGAAGAAACATACCAAATTCTAGTAGCAGAAGGCGGTAAATTGTAATAAAATCAAAGCTGTATGTATATTTCTAATGGAATTCAACAATATTAGCTCCATAGTCTTGGTTGGGCTCTAATTAAATTAGTCTTCTCCATTCATTTCTATTTTTAGCTGTTGCTCTCCAGTTTCTAGTTTTAGGTGTATTCAGATCTTCCTGTACTAAGTCCATATATATTAAATTTTTGCTCGTCCCTTACATGACTTTCCTATCATGTTTTTCTAAAGAAATTGTGAGATCAAAAAAACTGATTGAGATGGACAGGATGTACAGTGCAAATACATTGGACCAAGGAAAATATTAGGGTTGTATTCAAAATCACAAACGGCTTTTGTACTTACCTCACTTTCAGAATCAAATAACTCTTCGGAACTTTGATATAATTCTTCAGCCTAAAAAATATTCAAATTGGGTATAAAATCGTTAGCATTTAGCTACACATAATATATATATATATATATATATATATATATATATATATATATATATAATATATATATATATATATATATATATATATATATATATAGTTTAAGTAAAATGTAATGGCATGTCTCGCAAAACAGGAAAACAAAATATCTGTATATATGTATTTCTGACTATTGGTCGTCTTTAGTATACTGCAGCCAGGTTAGAAAAGGAGCATGTTAAAACTTTCCGCTCAGATTTTGTTCTTATTGATGCACCAACAAAAAAAAACCGTTTGGATCCGTAAATTTTATTTTTGGGACATATTTTGTTAATTTAGTCATTCCCAGATTTCAATGTTATCATGTATTATCAAAATAGTATACACTATTGAATACATTCTACTATTTTCTTATAAAATAAGAGATATGTTAGAGCTGCTGGAAATACATTTAAAGAACTATGTCTCGATAGCCTCATCTCCCATATTTCTGTCAGCGAACTAGTAAGAAAATTTCAAGAAACTGCTTGTGCAAGGTTTTAACTACTTTCTTGTGGCATGTCGTAATTTACGTTAATAAAATCAAGTTAAGTAATACAAATTCTGAAAAATGTATCAGCAAAGATTTTATTATTGGTTATGTCATACATAATGTATGTTATGTTATACGGAGTGGAAATCTAAATGTCAAACATTTGTTAATTAACCTTCCGTTACTAACATTCGGTCTGTAAGACGGACCACTTAGAGTTTTTATGATTATATCCGACTCGTTCGTTATGTATCTTACCACCGTCAGTAGCTCCTGATTCAAGTGTCTGTTTTTAGTGTTGGTTGAAGTTTAAGTCTTCAGTGCCAGGTGCTTATAGAATTTGCAAGAATCGGCAAATTTTGTCTCAGAGACCGATGTTAGTTTTGGTGCTATTAAATCCGTCTGAATAACAGGGTAATATTAATTTGTTTTATTGATAAAAACAAAGTATTTGTGTACTTTTTATCATTATATCGGTTTTCTTGTGGTGTTCTTTCCTTTACTTTTTTGTACGTAATAATAATGACGAAATTGCTTTGTTATTTCATTTCACACGTTTCTTTCAAAAAATGGCTACGTGCAGTTTATATAGCTGAACAATATTGACTTAGACGACTTCTTTACGAAGTTTTATCTGATGTAGCAGAGGATAGTGATTCCAGCTTAGATGATGGCCACTTAGAAGTTCAAAATGGGAATAGTGGTTAGGAACAATAGTTCCTACAACAATAGGTTAGTAGAACGACCCGTGAACCTTGTTTCGTTGGGCGTGACGGAACTCAATGAAAAAAACATTTAGATAAACGTAAGAACGTGCGAACCCGTGCTGACAATTTAGTAACCAAATTGCCAGGAGTAAAAGGTGAAACTAGACACAAGAAAATATGAAGCTTATTTTTCACAAATGAGATGAAAGAATAGTATTCTACACAAATCGACATATTGAATTAAAACAATATTCTGAATCCAACAGGACACTGAGGCTAACAGATATAGATGAGCTGAAAGCCTTATGCGGATTATTCTATATTGCTGGTAAAAACAAGCAAAATCATAAAAATGCTTCGGACCTTTTCAGAACTAATGGTATGAGCACAGCCATTTTTCTTTTAACTATGTCGCACCTATAGCCCATAAAAGAGGTGTTGTGTTCAGTCTTACTGACAGATCAATTAAAATATTTAGTCCACAAAAAAAAAAAAATAAAAAATATTCACCAGAATTTTACAACTCTCTCATTAAAAAAAGAAATTATATTATCAAAAATCAATCCAATTCCAATACCAAACCAAAACAAAAATGTTTGCAATGTTGGACATAAATCATCAAAAACATCTGGAAATTATTTTTCAAAATTTAAACCTAAAGGTAATAAAGACCATCAATCAGACATTATTTATAAAATAAATTGTAAAGAATGCTATTCAACATATATTGGACAAACACGCCAATACCTACATAGAAGAATAATTGTTGCACACAAACAGTGTACAACAGCCCTAGCCAAACATTCTCTAGAAAATAGCCATTCTTTTGATTTTGAAAATATACAGATTTTGGAAAAAGAAAAAAATTACAACAAAAGATGCATATTGGAGATGATTCACATAAAAAAGATCCAAACTCCATCAATAATAAGACTGATATCAAAGATCTTTCCAATATGTATCATAATTTAATAAATTTTGTTGTTTTTTAAATGCACTATAGCAGATATTTTAAGATATGACCCTAAACCACTCCTATTTTAAGATACCTGCTAGATGTCATCTGTCAACGTTATATAAAAATTGAGATACCAATTTTTTAATCCATGTTAAACTTTTTAAAAAAGTGTAAACATTAAATTTAATTGTAAAATGTAATGTTTAAAGTTTAATAAAGTGTTTATTGAAAATGGCAAATTTGCCAAAATGTTTAAGCAAAACTTAAATAGTTTTAGTTACATCAGACAGACAAACCCAGGAAATAAAAAAGTTTCTATTTACATATTCACTGTCAGCAAATAACGTTATATATATATATATATATATATATATATATATATATATATATATAATATATATATATATATATATATATATATATATATATATGATATGATATTATTTTACATTTTTTAAAATCGAAATTTTAATTAACCTATTCTGGGTCCACTACTGGTAATTAACATCACTTTCACATAAAATATGGGTGTAAACAAAGCAAAAATTCAAAAAATCTGCTACTAAATATGTAAGACTGTAAACTATTCAATGGTCCTAGCCATACATATGAAGTATTCCTTTCTAACTGCCCTAAACAATTTACTTGTAAACATTTTGCTTGTTTTACAAAAGGGAGTTGAAGACTTTCAGCTACTAGATGATATATTATGTTTTCTTTGATGTTTCAACCAATTTATAGCAATATCCTTTCAAACTTGCATTTTTTTATTTATGAAAATTATTCTTCTGAAATCTATGTTTTTGGGATTTAAAAAATTTACTTTTTTTAATTTAGGTATATTGAATTAAATGAAGAAATAGAAACGGAGGCTATAAAGATGTATGGTATGGACTAGAGAAATTTTGTTGGAAAGTAAGAAAATAATTTTTATTTATTTAATAGAGAAAAGGCAACTAGTGTGCAATGAAAACTCTAAGCCGTAGACAGCCTTGAGATAAAGTCATTTTCAGGAATAAGAGATATCTTCAGTAACTACGAACACAGAGAAGCGACACGAGCCCCGAAATCCGTGTACCGTTTCTGTATATGCATGCCGAACCTGATTGCTTGCGAGCGCCCACCAAAGTGGCGTGGCAGTGGCAAGTAGCAAGTAGCACGCGTCTAGCATAATGTAACCAATGAAAACGAATGATTCAGTTTACACCAAAATGACAGTAACGTCATTCATTCTAATCATTCGTTAGGATTGGTTATATTATGCTAGACGCGTGCTACTTGCTACTTGCCACTGCCACGCCACTTTGGTGGGCGCTCGCCCTAAATGTCAAAAACACGTGCGTGTTCTTCAACTCTGGTTGTTTACGATAGTCCGTAGGCACCTGTGGTAAATACTCGACTATACAAGTGCATTTGATCATTTATCTAATTTACTTAGTAGTTAAAAGTTTATAGTTATAGTTAAAATATATAAGTTCAATATATAAGTTTATAGTTAAAAGTTTAATTTATAAGTATTTAAAATGTCTTCTGGTTATTGTTGTGCGTTTCGCGGATGTTCATCTGTGACAGGAAAAGGAATAAGTTTATTTAGATTTCCTAAGAATAATAACAGGTAATTACTATTGCTTTGTAATTATTATTAGTTATTACATAATAGTATTAATTTGACTTTCGATCAGTAAGCTGACGCCGACGTGTCCGTCCGAGCTCTCGTTAAGTGGAGCAATAAAAAAATTAACTTTGGTCTGCCAAGGAATAGTTCAAAATAAAAACATTAAATTTATTGTCTCCGAAGGCTCAGGTCAAAAAATCAACAGATGTTGGCCTACTGGCGTGAAAGCGCTTGCAGACAACAATACGAATATAGTATTATTAGGAAATAAAAATGTATAGAGGGTTTTATACACGAGAATATTTGATTTAAACGAAACAAAGAACTTCCTAAAATGCTCAAACTAAAAATTGTTGGAAACATAATTAGACCGATAATTGGGAAAATCTTAAATTACAACAGAACAAGACTTCAAAATAAAAACATGGTTGCAAATAAACAAACTTACATTAAATTATGAAAAAACTAAATACTCATCTACTTTTTGCTATATACAAAAGTTGTCTGTCAATGTTTAATTTGTTAAATATAAATAACAAAGATCAAATATATGGATCGGAGTACACAACATATTTAGGGAATAAATTTTTAAATGGGAATTACAAATAAAAAATATTAAAACTTTATTTGTTGTATATCTCAATATTTAGTGACAATTTTGTGACTTAATTAGGAGAAAACTGTAAATTTATTAAGATGAGATATTGACAAAAGTTAAATACTTCATTACTTACAATATACTTAGAAATTACTAATACTCTTATAGTTGTAAGTAATGAAGTATTATTTATAAATACAAAAAGTTCTTTGTTTAAAATTTCTTCTGTTAAAAATTTGTAGTGCTAAAATGTGGATAGAAGCTTGCAGACGAGAAGAATTATTGTTAAAAATGGATATACTTTATAATAGTTATCGCATTTGTGAACTACATTTTGAAGATAATCTTATTGTAAAAAAAAAGTAAATAAAAGAAAACCATTGGTGCATGACGCAGTACCTTCCAAATTTCAATATAATACGATAAACACAATTGACTACCTTGAAGATATCGAAGAACCACCAAAAAAGATTTGTTATTTTTCGATTATATTACTAAAGATAATTTATTAGGAAATTCCACGACGAACCAATTATATCTTGTATCAACACAAGCCAAAAAGAAGCGGTGTATTATTGTATTATCAATGCCAACATCAGAATAAACAAAAAAGTATTTTCATCTGTGGTTCCATCAATACGATTTTCACCATTACTTTGCATTGTGTGATGTATTTGCAACCTTTGCGTGATATGTCCACTGACTATTAGTTAGCTGGTTGATTTCCTGTCATTTTCACTCATTGGCGGCTTGCCCACGCAAGATCAAAGGAGTGTCGCTTCTCTGAGTTCGTAGTTCTCTGACAAGACAATAAAAGTGCTTTGATAATTTTCACAGCAGAAAGTATAAAGAATAGTTAATATTAAATACATAATCACTTCAATCAAGCAAATATATTTTAAGTACCTTTTACTGTATTACTCATGCACATTTTTAAAGACACATTTACTGATGATCGGGTTAAATTCCACAATTGCAAATAAGTTGTATAAAAATTTCCTAAAGGAATTGTGTGAACATGAATGACTTTGAAATTTGCCAGAATCAATTTTATAAAAAGCTTTTTGAATGTTGTAGAGTTTTTTTGACAATACTGTAATAATGAAAATTTCTGGTGGAGTCAATGTCAAATTATCAAAAAGCAATCATATAATAATAGTTTATATTACTGACTATTCATACTAAACAAATCACATTTCTGACTACTAATTCTACCACTGCTTCTGCATAATACCATAGATAACAAACCATTTCACTTACCAATATCTTTTTTTGTTCTATTATATTATCATTGTTAGGGGGAGCTTCTTCCTCTATGCCAGGTAGGGCACACAGTTTAAAATATTTAATAGCTAAAGATATTTCCTTTTTCAATTTTATAGGGACAGACACACAGCCTAGATAAATAAATTCTAGCACATACTTCATTACTTTTGGAGAATATTCTGGCATATATAAACAATTCTGTAACAATTATTAATAATTAATTTATTTAACAATAAAACACTGAAAACTTTGTTTTCAAACTTCCACAAAATTTATTTTAACTTCTTATCACTACAACTGTTTCGACTGATTGCCTTTCTCAAGTGATTCACTTGAGAAAGGCAATCAGCTGAAACAGCTGTAGTGATGAGAAGTTGAAATAAATTTTGTGGAAGATTGAAAACAAAGTTTTCAGTGTCTTATTGTTACATAAAATGAATTTCCATCAAGTTACGGTGGAATCCATCAATTAATTAATTTATTACTAATAGTAATAATTGCTTTTCATTAGGTATTGATTACAAATGGAATAGAAAATAGCTTGAGGTTGTTAAATATTTTGACAATACACATTTGTCACCAGCATTATATAAAGGAAAAGATAGTACAAAACTCATTCTACCTCAAGAAGTAAGATGGAATACTATGAATGATTGCATTAGATGTTACCTAGAAAACAGGGGAATATAAGGATAAGTATGACAAGACAATAATCAAATTGACATCGATATTTGCAACATAATAAATAATAATGGTATTGTGGTAAACATTAAGGATTTTCTAGAAAGATTGCATCATGTTTCAGTGGCAGTTGATAGAATGCAATGACACTCAACAACAATTGCTGTAGCCATAGAAACTTGGATTCAACTGGAAAAATATCTGAGTGATCAACCTATTCAAATTATTAATTTATATTGCAAAATGAGAAATATGGCTTTAAGTTTGCCTCATTTTTTGGTAAACTTAATGGATCATCGCTTTTTGGGAGAAAACAGCTGAGCAAAAAGAATAGGCTTATGAATATTTAAATTCAATCAATACAGATTTTGTTTCATTTGTAATGACAATAACTTCAAAACAAAAAAACATCTATATTATTAGGATGAAGTCTGTTCAAATCGCTGAATCTGCTTGGCCTAATAAAAACATATTTCTCGAACAAATTAACCAATTAGTTACAGCAGTAGCTGCAATGACACGCATTGAAAGGTGATTTTCAAGCTTTGGACTTGTGCATTCCAAATTAGAAAATAATTTAGGAACTGAAAGGGCTGCTAAACTTGTATTCATGTTTAAATATTTAATCAGTTCTTAATACCAAAAACATGACAATTTAGAATGGATTTGGCCTGAACAAGAAACTAAAAGGGAAAATGAACAGATATAATTAAGTCTTGGGTGCTTTACTGGTTTTGATTCAGATACTTCTGATGATAAACCATCATCCTAATTTGTTTTTTAAATAGAAATATATGCTTAAGTTTAAAATGTTTTCAATAAGTACCTGAATAAAAATTCTTATGAATTTTAAGTAACAAACAAATAAAAATAAAGAAGAGCATATTGAATACGAGAAGATTAGGAGGAAACAAGTATTATATTGTGATGGGAAAGCAAAATATATACATATGTAATATGAAATTGACGAATTATAACACAAAGCAATATGTTAAATAGACAAAGCACAAACTATAGATATATATGCACAACCACTTTTTAACTCTTTATTTTTTATTAAATGTAATTAGGTACTATTAGTAAAAAGAAAATATCTGACAAGCAGATCATTAATAGGTGTTGACATTTATCTCAAAAATCTTTGTAATATAAATTGACTCAATTCTTATATAAAAATAAAACATACTTATACCTCTTATGGATTATTATTTTATTACCTTTCCTTCACTACCAGTTTTTAACAATTCATAAAATACACTACTTTCTGCAGCAATAATGGGACCATGAACTTTAATAATTTTACCCCCAGCTAAAACTATACTTGTATCTACAAACTTTTGATTTAAATAAAACTGGTAAATTGTCTTTCCATATCCTGTTCCACTGGATGTAAAAATTATACGATTATTATCAGTACATTGATTTTCCATATTTTTCTTTAATTATATATTTATGTTGTTAATATTTGACTTTTTAACTGTTTTTCAAGTTTTTTAGGTTAGAATGTTCTTCTTATAAACAAACAAGGGCCAGGCGATTTGCGAGGGATTTTAATTCTGCAAGATTCTTGCAAAACTATTTTACAAATAAATAAAAAAAAACGGTTGAAGCACAGAATAATAAACAATTTGTGGTTGAGGTGAGGCAAGTTGCTTTTTGATTGGGTATTTTTTAAAATTAAAAAGAAATAAAAAATGTTCTAAAAAAATCACGTGACCTGTTGACGATAACCATCGATGACCATGCCACAGTATAATAAACCAATTGTTATTTATTCTATGCTCATGCTGTTGTGCCTCAAAATTTTGGCATAGCATAAATAAACAATCAGAATGCCCACTCTGCTTGAAAAAATAAGTACGCGCATCTCGTTCGCGCAGACGAAATCAGCCATGTTTGAAACGGAACCAGTGCTGTTCAGTGACATTTTATCTGGTGTGAATAGAAAAATTAACCCGGCTTAATTTATTTACGGCAACTATAGACATAATATGCACAATTTTATTAGTACTTTTAATTGAAGAATAGATTAAATTATTTCAATTGTGCTAAATTATTAATCTCTAAAAATTTAAATTATGGTTCTGTCATAGCTTGTCATAAAGTTCTCAATCCGAGTCTGTTTCCGTTTAAAATATGGCGATCGCGTGCTGACAAACTTCAAAGGCGGCATCTGAGATTGGGCATTCTGATTGTTATTTATTCTGTGATTGTGGTGTCATTATTATAATATTTTAGACTTCTTAGATATTTTTAATAACTAAAAGAAGGTAATATGCACTAAAAATAAATTTACAAATATGAATAGAACAAATTCCATTTATTATTATGATAATTTTTCGACTGTTCTAACAACCATTAAAATTTCGTCATTTTGTGTCATGTGAAACAATTTCACCCAATCATGTCAACATTAGACTGATAATTGCATTCAGTGCAATTTTCAATCCCTATGACAACACGATCGAGTTTGATAAATGGCCGAATCTTATATGAATGACTTGGTTCATTCCCCCATCAGTTTAACCCAGAGATATGTAAGAGAGGGGAAATGACACAAACGATATTTCTGCATTTAATAAATGGGACCACTTATTTTGACTGATTGTCTACACCAATATGGCGGCGGGCAGGTCCGGATTCAAATTAAATCAAACTGTATTTACGATTTACTGTTAAGTTTGGGAATAAGCATTGGGTTAGATTAATAATAGTTATTTGGAATAAAATTACTTTCATTTTTAGTACTTTTCAAGTACACTTTAATAATAATAATAAAATTTATTACATACATAAAGTTTTAAAAAATGTACAAAACTAGTCAATGATATGGTTTTAAAATTATAACATTTACAATTAGCAAGTGCACTTACTTAAGTTTATATACATTTAGAAATGTTAGTTCCATGTAGTATTAATAAAATTAGTTCTTGTGTATAGGTAGGTAGTTAAAGAATTGTATCAAAGACATGTCGTGATCTTTATCTTTTTAACTTATTGTGGTTTCTATGGTTATGTAGATATAAATATGTAGAAATTATCAGGTATAGTGGCTATTAAAAATCTTTATTTTTTCTAAAGAAACTGAATATTTCGCTATTTATTTTATAGCTTCATCAGGAGTACACTGTAAAACAATTTTAAAATTTCAAAAATGGCGTAAAAATACAATTTGGCACAGATGATAACTACAAAAGTAGATTATTTCTTGAGATGTATCACATCAACAAAAATGAAAACACTTTAAATTATAAAACAGGCACTGGACAGTTAAGTAAAACTGTCCAGTTTCCGTTTACTGTTAATTGTAATATATTAAACAAAATTTATAAATATTGAAAATAGCTAATATTCACCTTCATAACAACCAACCTTAATAATTCATCAAAGAAATTTCATTCTTCTAACGTTTCTTTTATTGCTATTTTTGTTTTTACACCTAAAGTCATTTTAAATTTTTTATCATATTACTGTAACTAACGTGCTTAAGACAATTTAATCATGAAATTTATTACATACTTCAATGTCAATTTTTATATGTGAAACCTTTTAATTTCTGTAAGTGTTTTTTAAATGTATTTGTACGCCATTTTTGTAATGTTAAAATTGTTTTACAGTGTACTCCTGATGAAGCTATAAAATAAATAGCGAAATATTGAGTTTCTTTAGAAAAAACAAAGATTTTTAATAGAGACCACTATACCTGATAATTTCTACGTTTAAAAATTATTTTTTGATTGAAATAATCACTTGTATATATATATTTATATATATATATATATATATATATATATATATATATATATATATATATATATATATATATATATACACCCAAAGTCATGGGAAACTATTTGTAGAGGACTCAAATATGTATCGAAAACAACTGTTAAAATTATTCTACGACTTAAAGGTATTCCAAAATTTTGCTAAAATATAATACATTTTTCTGTGAAAAAATGTGTATTACGTGTTGCGTTTTGTCATATTATTGTTTCTGATATTTGACAATATTTAAATCAATTATATTACATTTATCTATGATTTAAATGGCCAAAATTTTGTGATTTATTGTTAAAAAAAAATTAAGTTGATTAAAAAATGTACTCAGTTGAGGAGAAAAAAGCAATAATAAAAATTTTTTATTCATGTTTTATTATAACACTTGTTATAGTTTTATGTTTATAAATTATCATATATTATTATTAGAAATAAAGATCACAGTAACAGTATATTGGAATTCATTGAATTGTTGTATAACTTAACATGGAATTAAATTTTAGTGAATTAGAATATCTTACGTTAAATAAAGATCCGGTAGTGGCAGGAAAAGGTTCGCGCTATTGCCTGAGTACAACATTATGCGATTTTTCGTCAACTGAGTACATTTATATTGATCGATTTGTAAACAATATAATTTATTGTTCACAAAGTAATAATGTTCATTAGTAGTAGTATTTAGTAAAACTCATTGTTTATAATTTAATCATAAAATAAAAAAATTGACAATTCAAATTGTCAAACATCTGACATAAATATGATAAAACACAAACGTAATAATATATATTCTTGCATTACGTGTGGCCTAACTTTTAGGGGTGGCCTGAAAAATGTATTATATTTTAGCAAAATTTTGGAATACGTTTAAGTCGTAGAATAATTTTAACAGTTGTTTTCGATACATATTTGAGTCCTCTACAAATAGTTTCCCATGACTTTTGGTGTAAAATAATTAGGGAAGCAGGAATTCAACAATTTAGAATTTACCATTGAGTTTCCTATGGTCCGTTTGACGATTCACCACCCGGTATATATATATGTATATATATTTATATATATATATATATATATATATAAATATATATATATATATATATATATATATATATATATATATATATATATATATATACTTCATCTAATTTAGATAACGACTTACGTCATTATCTACGTCAGAGATCGAAGTTGACATAGTTGCCAAAGTATAAAAAATCCTCCATTTTAAATCAAATAGATTACATAATTATTGCACAAGTATTACCATCTCTTTACAACGTAAATATTTAAATTCTTACGTGACATTTTTGAAATAAAACACACCAATTTTGTTCTAAAAAGAACAGATTTTATTAAATAGTTAAAAATATAAAACAAGAGATATTCACTTTAAAATTCAAAATAATGAAATACAAAAAGTGTCAACACCGGAACTGTCAAATAAGTGTTACCAATTTATGCCAAAATTTTACCTTCGTTCAAATACAGTTACAGTGTGTTCCGAACAAATGTTCTTGATAAAAACGCTTTATAATGCATTTATACAAATTAAATGAAACATATTATTGTGTATTTCTTTAAGTTAACATTAATAGAAATTTTTAAATATTATTTCTACGCGTATATAATAAAATATTTCTGGTGGCTGTAATGCCAGTGTACTCGGTAAAGTGATTCTAAAAAGAACACAGCTACACCCTAAATATTTTGTGTTGGTATCATGTGACGTCACAGGCTATGACGCCGATGACGTGCATCGGTATATAAATTAGATGAAGTGTATATATATATATATATATATATATATAAATATATATATATATATTTATACACATATATATATATATATATATATATAATATATATATATATATATATATATATATATATATATATATATATATATAATGTTTGGAACACAATTTGCTATGTTTTGATGGTTCCCAGTTCCCACACTATTTACAAACTGTATCCAGGCATTTCTCTTTTCAACATCTTTAGAAAATCTACAACCACATAACCAAATTAAAAAGATTACCTGTTCTTTTTACACGCAGCATCACTAAAAACGGAAGTAATACCGCCCTGTACACTGTTTACAATTTCATACTAACCGATGAAAAGATATTCCAGTTGAGTTTTTCTTATTATTTCAACTGTTATTTAGACACAAAACAAAAGCACACGAAGCCGTAATGGTTTCACTTTAAAATAAACGTAAAACCGTACAAAATTAAGTTCAAAATACTTTTAAAATTAAATTTCTATGCACAGAAGTACTGACACAAACAACAATCTGTCATGTCTACACCAATATGGCCGAACCGATCCCATATCTATTTCACGGTATGTCATATCCCCTCTCTTACATATCACTGGTTTAACCCCAGCGAGTTAATAAAGAGAAATGACAGCCTATCTTTCTCACGTAGACTTTAAACCAATCATAAACCAAATAAAATAATCAAATTCTGTCATAAGTAATGACAGATCTTACGTTTGCATTTATTCTTAGTAATTTTAATTTAAATTTGGTTACTTAGTTTTTAAAGTTTAGTTTGAGTTACCTATTGTAGCAAAGAATTTTTTTGTTGTGCTAGTAAAAAAACTAACATGGTGAATTATTGTATTGTTCCATTGTGTACAAATCATGGAAAAATGTTGCCAGGAAGCAAAAAATAATAGTATATAACTTCTGAAAATACGTGTAATATATAGTATATAATTAGTTTATAACTGTTTTATCTTAACAAATAAAT